AGCCGGGGGTGGCGCGGTTTTCGTGCAACCGGTTTGGGCACCTCTGCCGCGGTCCCGCCCGCGCTGGGAGCCGCGGGCGCGGACGGGGCTCAGCCCTAGCAGCGGCGGGGACGGCCACCCGCCCCTAGGGGGTGTCCTGGCGCCTCCGCGGGCAGACAAAGGCAGGAGGGGACGCCTGGCGACCCGACTCCCGGGGTCCAGCCAGGGCGAGCGGCCGTACTCACCCCAGGAAGGTGTCCTAGGGCCCAGACACTCCTCAGGGTCCCTTGCGGAGGAGGTGGCGGGGCCACAGACACAAGGGGAGAGCATCTGGAACTCTTCTGGTTTCTGAACTTTTCCCCGACAGGACCCCAAACCCTCTGAGTCATCCTCCCAGGCTTAACGGGACTCGGGGAGAGGTAGAGCCAGGGTCAGACCCCAGTGCGTTTCAAGAATTTTGGTTACCAGGGCTTTCCGGAGCCAAGCGGGGTACGGCTCTGTTACCCAACCCTCCCACCCCGACGCTTCGCCGGCCAGGCTGACCCGCGTGACTGTGCCCTGCGCGGGGACCCTGCGCGACTCCAGCCCTCCCCAGTAGACCCTCGTCGTGGACAGCCAGAGCTCCTAGGCTCCCCGGGGCGACGTGACCACTGCAGAGGCAGCTGGCACTTCCCACTCAGTAGCCAACTGACAGGAGTGTGGCCGCGTGAAAAGCAATGGTGACATCCCCCAAGGGTGAAAGGGAATCGGCCCCTGTGAACGGAAAAGAAGAGGCAGCCAGCCGGGGCCACTGGCAATGTGGAGCCAGCACCCCGTAGTCAGGGTGCTGAGACCAAGGGGGAGCCTCCCTTCCCAGCAAGAAGACTCCCAGGAAGATGAAATTGTCTTTCAAGGCCAGGCACGGCTGCTAACTTCTATAATCCTTGAATTTTGGGAGGCTAAGACAGGCAGATCGCTTGAGCTCAGGAGTCCGAGACCAGCCTGGGAAACATGGCAAAAATCCGTCTCTACAAAAATACCTGGGAAACAGCAAAAACCTGTCTCTACAAAAATACAAAAAAAAAAAAATAGCGCTGATAGTATAGTGGTGAGCATAGCTGCCTTCCAAAAACACACACACACGCACATGCACACGCACACGCACGCACACAGTTGGGCGTGGTGGGGCTGTGGTCTCAGCTACTCCGGAGGCTGAGGTGGGAGGATCGCTTGAGCCTGGGAAGGTCACGGAAGCAGCAGTGAGCCGAGATCTCACCACTGCACTCTAGCCTGCGTAACAGAGTGATACCATGTCTCAAAACACCAAACATCTCTTTCAAGAAGGCTTTCAAATTGAGCAGCTTGTCTGTCCTTCAAGAGAAATCAGAAGGAGGGTGGGGTGATTCCTCTGCCTCCTCACCGACAGAGGATGATCAGGAGGAGGGGGAGATCAGTGCCTGTCGCCAAGAGGCCACTGCCCAGGAAGGAAGGTTGTTGCCACTCCTGAGAACCAGGAGCCGCAGGCCAAGGGGGCAGAGGCTAGTGCTGCCTTAGAGAGAGAGGCAGGGCCTCAGGCTGCAGAGCTCTCCACTCCCTTGGGGCGGAGAGTGGCCCCACACAAGCCCACTCGGAGCAGAAACAGTAGCTGGGTGGGCCAGGTGGGTGATCTCTAAGCTGCAAAAACTGCTGTCCTTGTGAGGTCACTGCCTGGACCTGGTGCCCTAGCTGCCCTCCTGTGCCCAGAAAGGTAAGGGCTATTGCATCCTACCAGCCATGTTCCCTTTCCTTCTCTCCCACTTGTGGATTCTCTCATCGACCATCTGGCTTTCCTCTTAAGGCCGGTTGAAGATGGTCCCTTACAGCATCCCTAGTTAGTGATATGAAATACTCCTGTCCCTGACCCTGCTGCCTTCCCTGTTCTCACCCTGCTGAAGGCAATTTTTGGTTTTCTTCCCCAATTATTTTCCAAGTAGGTTTTGTTTACCCTTCTCCCCAAATCCCTGAGCCAGAAGTGGGGTGCTTAAACTCCCAAACCTTGAGGGTCCAGACTCCCCTGTGTTGACTTTTTACCCTCTTGTGCTGTGCCTACTGGCACCTGGGTGCCTAGACTGCCCTGTCTAGGGTTCTATTCAAGTTCAAACCTGCTATGAGTCAACTGTGTCTCTCTTCTGACTTGGCAAGTGCGTATTAGGCTTTGGGGTCAGGGAGAGGTCTGTATTGTGAAACCACTTCTTGTCTTTTCTTCCCTCATTTTCATAAGGGCCAAACCCCAGATTTGAATTTTTTTTTTCTAACTGCTAAAACCTCTTCCACCTGGTTTTACTGTACCAATTGGAAAAGGAATAAATGTCCCTTAAAATTATTTTTGTTAGATGTATTCTTTATTTTTTCTAAGAGATTTATTGAGATATAATTCATACACTGTAGAGTTCACCCATTTAAAGTGTACTGGTCAGTGGTTTTTAGGATCTTTAGAGCTGGGCAACCATCATCACAATGTGAGAACATTTTCATCACTCCCTGCCCTTAAAGAAACCCTATAATTGGACAGGCACTGTGGCTCATGCCTGTAATTCCAGCACTTTGAGAGGCTGAGGCGGGCAGATCACGAGGTCAGGAATTTGAGACCAGCCTGGCCAATATGGTGACACCCTGTCTCTACTAAAAATACAAAAGTTAGCCAGATGTGGTGGCCCTCGCCTGTAATCCCAGCTACTCTGGAGGCTGAGGCAGAAGAATTGAGTGAGCCAAGATCGCACCGCTGCTCTCCAGCTTGGCAACAGAGCGAGACTCCATCTCAAAAACAAAACAAAACAAAAAAACTCTATAATCTTTAGCCACCACCTCCCAATTCCCCACCCCTATGCCTAGGCAACTACTAATCTGTTCTCTCTCTCTATAGTTTTGTCTATTTGGAACATTTCATATGAATGGACTCAGTACTGTGTGGTCCTTTGTGACTGGTTCCTTTCACTTGACAAAATGTTTTCAAGGTTCATCTGTGTTGTGGCATGTACTTCATTTCTTTTTATAGCTGATTTATATTCCATTGGACAAACACTTTATCGATTCATCAGATGAGGGACATTTGGGCTCTTTTCAACATTTGGCTATTATAAATAAAGCTGCTATACATGTTTATGTACATGTTTCTGTGTGCATGTACATTTTCATGTCTCTTGGGTAAATATCTAGGAGTGGAAGTTCTGGGTCAAATGGTAACTCTGTATTTAACTTTCTGAGGAACTGCCAGACTGTTTTTTTGCCGTTTTACATTCTCACCAGCAGGGTATGAGCATTCTATTTCTCCACATCCTCATCAACATGTGTTATTATCTGGCTTTTGGATTATAATCATCCTAGTGGGTGTGCGCTGTGGTTTGAATGTTCGTTTCTTCGGAAACTCATGTTGAAACTGAATCCCCAATTATGGCAGTATTGAAAGGTGGGGACTTAAAAGGTGATTGGCTGATGAGGGCTCTGAAATTAATCCATTCATGGATTAATGAGTTAATGGATTATTGGATTAGCACAAGATTGCTACTGGTGGCTTTATAAGAAGAAGAAGAGAGACCTGTGCTAGCACACTGAGCCCCGTCACCATGTAATGCTCTGTGCCGTCACAGTACTCTGAAGAGAGTCCCCATCAGCAGGAAGACCCTCTCTAAATGTGGCCCCTTGACCTTGAACTTCCCAACTTCCATAACTGTAGAAAATAAATTCCTTTTCTTTATAAATTACCCAGATTCAGATTTTCTGTTATAAGCAATAGAAAATAGACTAAAACAGTGCATGCACCTAGTGCTTTAAAATATTTTTTGAGGGCCAGACACAGTGGCTCATGCCTGTAATCCCAGCACTTTGGGAGGCCCAGGCGGGCGGATCTCCTGAGGTCGGGAGTTCAAGACCAGCCTGACCAACATGGAGAAACCCCTTCTCGAAAAAAAAATAAACAAATAAAATAAAATATTTTTTTAGATCTAATTCACATAGCATCACAGTCACTATTTTACCATGTACAATTCAGTGGTTTTAGTATATTCACTATGTTGTACAAACATCAATACTATTATCTAATTCTAATTCTAGAACATTCCATCAGTCCAAACAGAAACTCCGTATAGCTTGTCATCACTCTCCATCTCCCTTTTCCAACCCCTGGCAGCCGTGAATCTACTTTCTGTCTCTATGAATTTGCCTATTCTGGATATTTCGTACAAATGGAATCATGCATTGTAATATGTGATATTTTGCGATTGGCTGCTTGCTCTTAGTGTAATGTTTCTTCAATGTTGAGCATGTACCAGTACTTAATTTTTTTGAGTTGCCAGAAAATATCCCATTTTATGGGCCTGGTACTTCTAAAGCAATTGATGTCTTCTGTTTTCTTTGCCCTTCCCTGCCCAAACAACTGTGCAGTGTTCTGAGGACACATGGCACTTTCTAGTGGTTCTATCAGATCTATTATTATACAGAGCTAAGTTTGAATTATTTAGTAAAAGCTAAATAATGAATTTTAACTTATTTTTAAAAATAGCTTGTTTAGTTTAACTATATAACAGATGTGTGATCCATTGCTTAGGTGACTTTGCATAGTTGAAAATGTAACTTTATCACAGGTTTTATTTTTTTAAAAAAGAAAAAGGAAGTAATTTACATCATTGCTTATGAAATCTGTTTTTTAAATATATGGAGTATCTTTTACATTTATCAATACCTTTTTTGGAGGGGAACATTTTATTTGCAGAAAATCTGAGGCTAAATTTGGAGATGTTTATTTTTTAGGGTTTGGAATATGCAATTAGTGAAGGTAACAGCAGGTGTGGATATAGACTGCATTATCCATATTTACAAGGCAGTAACTAGTCATATAAAAGAATAGAGGAAGGAAAGAAAAGGATTTATTTCAAAATAATAGGATTTCAGTTTAGAACAAGTTTAATAAAGTTTAGTAAAGTTTAATAAACTTTAAATTATTTAAATTATTAAAAGTTAAACAATCTTCGAGTCTTACATTCTTATTTCAAAATAAGTTAGTTTTAGTTACTTTTCTGGTTGCTTAATTATAGTAAATTTTTGTTATTAGCTTATATTTAATCAATGTTTTAATGACACTATGAAGCAGATATTTTATTTAAGCTTTTCAGCAAATTTTGAGATAAGTTCTATTTTCCACATTTTGAAATCTGTGAAGCTGATCGGGGAGGGGCAGAGCACCCAAATGTTTCTTCTTCTTTTTGTCTTTCAAAAGTACTATTTATCTTCAATTAACAAGCAACACTTTCTATATCTATCTATCTATCTATCTATCTATCTATCTATCACCTATCAATCAACAGGGTTTTACTCTGTCAGCCAAGCTGGAGCGCAGTGGTACAATCACGGCTCATGCAGCCTCAGCCTCCCTAGGCTCAAGTGATCCTCCCACCTCAGCTTCCTGAGTAACTGGTACTACAGATACATGCTACCATACCTGGATAATTTTTTTGTTGTTTTTGTAGAGATAGGGTTTTGCCATGTTGCCCAGGCTGGTCTCAAACTCCTGCACTCAAGCAGTCCACCCACCTTGGCCTCAGAGAGTGCTGGGATTATAGGCATGAGCCACAATGCATGGCCTTACAAGCAGTATTTTAGGAGCAGATATTTAGTGTTGTGAGGAAAGACTAAGTTATGCTGTAGAAACAACCTCAGATAGCACTGGCCATAAGCAACAGCTGATTCCTTGCTCATGCAGAGTCCTCTCTGGGTCTGAATGAGGATTTTGGACAGCCCTTTTCATGGTACAGTGTGACACCTTTATATAAACAGGTACCTCCATGATCACCCAGGCAAGGGAAGAGAGTACTGAGAGACCCACACCAGTAATAGAGCCAGTTCTCATTATTTGTAGTAGTTACATTCCTTAAAGTAAGAGTGAACATTGACTTAGCAAATACTGAACTATTGCTCCTAGGGGAAATATACAGTTAGGTTCCTGTAAGCCTCTGATCATAGTATTTTCAGTAATCAATCAATACATAACCTTGTTTTATGTGTGTTTCTGCATAAAGATATTTTATTTAATAGGTATTGTTGATTCATTAACATTGAACTCGTGACCAATGGCATTATAACTCATGTCTGAATGACATACAGGTCTTCTCCATTAGGCACATCACAACCTTCTCGCACTTAGGAACACTAGACAGCACTTCAGCCCTAAGCCTAGGGACTGTTTTAAACAGCAAACGAAAAGCACAAAAATGTGATAACAGTGGCCCGCCATAGATTGTGAAATGGACATTGTCTACAGCACAAGAAACAAGAGCTTGCCTCATCCAACTTCAGCTGGGAATGTGTGCTCTGGGCAACCTGCATTTTCCGCTGCTCTGGTCATGCATATGTCTGTGAGTGACCAGAAAGTATTGTGAGTATTGACTGTGGAGTTACAAAGATATTTTAACAAGCAAGCAAATTTGCAAATTTGCAAATTTGCAAATATGGAATTTGTGAATAATGAGGATCAACCGTAAATGCTTCCTGCAGTAAGTTACATGTTTTTCCATCCACTCTCCTTGGCCAGAGCAAGTCACCAGGCCTTCATTAACCTCAAGGGTATTCAAAAAAATGCTATCAATCTGTGCTTTTAAAGGAGAGCTCAAAATATTTGAGAAAAGTACTGCCGGTAATATCATTGTGTCACACGTTGTTTATTTATTCCATACTTGTGGCAGATTTTTATTTCCCAAGGATGGTTGCAACATTATCTCCATCCAATGTGCTGTTCTTATAACGTGACTTTGACATACCTCTAATTATAAGAGGTGAATGTCTCTTCTTCCTTTCCTTGAAACTTGGCAAGCTTATGATGACAGTAGAAGGCTAGATCATTAAAGTTGTCCACCTGGTTTTCTTTGAGACAATTGTTCTTAGAATCCAGCAGCCATGCTGAAGGGAAGCCTAAGCAGCTCCATAGAGAGATATGTGTAGGATATCCTAGCTGAGGATGTGGCTGGCAGCTGGCATCAACCACTGCTCATGTTGAGTAAGCAAGTGTTTAGATGATTCCAGCCCACCATTGACTCACCTCCAGGCATCCTTGAGCCTTCACTGCTGAGGTCCCAGAGGTCATAGAGGAGATACAAGTTATCCCTGAAGTACCCACAGAAACTGTGAGGATAAGAAAATGGTTATTTTTTAAAATAACATTATGCTTGTGGTAATGTTTTTTAGAAAGAATAACTTGAACAGTATTTATTCTATACAGTATTGTAGTAGGTGTTGGTGGGTGATATGGTTTGGCTCTGTGTCCCCACCCAAATTTCATCTTGAATTGTAATCCCCACATGTTGGAGGAGGGACCTGGTGGGAGGTGACTGGATCACGGGAGTGGACATCCCCCTTGCCGTTCTTGCGATAGTGAGTAAGTTCTCATGAGATCTGCTTGTTTGAAAGTGTGCGGCACTTCCTCCTTCATGCTCTTTCTCCTGTTCTGCCATGGTAAGACGTGCTTGCTTCCCCTTCACCTTTTGCTATGATTGTAAGTTTCCTGAGGCCTCCTAACCATGCTTCCTGTAAAGGCTTCCTGTAAACCTCCCAAAGTGCTGGGTTTACAGGTGTGAGCCACTGTGCCCAGCCTTCTTTTCTTTTTTCTAAGTAAATTAAACCTCTTTTCTTCATAAATTACCCAGTCCCAGGTAGTTCTTTACAGCACTGTTAGAATGGACTAATACAGTGGGTTTTGGCAACAAATAGAATTTGGTTTTGGCCTTTCTGGTGTCATCCATGAACTCATAACCTGGTTAAACATCTGGTCTTTTATTCTTTTCTTTTTTCTTTTTTTTTTTTTTTGAGATGGAGTTTCACTCTTGTTGTCCAGACTGGAGTGCAATGATGAATCTCGGCTCACAGCAACCTCCACCTTCTGGGTTCAAGCGATTCTCTTGTCTCAGTCTCCCGAGTAGCTGGGACTACAGGTATGCACCACCACACTCAGCTAATTTTTGTATTTTTAGTAGAGACGAGATGTTACCAGGTTGGCCAGGATGGTCTAGATCTCTTGACCAACCTCGTGATCCGCCTGCCTTGGCCTCCCTGCCTCCCAAAGTGCTGGGTTTACAGGTGTGAGCCACTGTGCCCAGCCTTCTTTTCTTTTTTCTAAAGACAGTGCCTCACTATGTTGTGCGAGCTGGAGGGCAGTGGCTATTCACAGGCACCATCACAGAGCATTACAGCCTTGAACTGCTGTGCTCCAGGGATCCTCCCATCGTAGCCTCCTGAGTAGCTAGGGCTACAGCTGCATGGCCCCACTCTCAGCAGTTATCTGGCTATCTGGTCCCTTTATAGTTACCACTGTCTCATGTTGGGGTCCGGCACGTCTGCCGGGGGACTACCGACCTGTGGGAGACTGCCAACGTGGATGTCTCATTCAACCTGAGGGAGAGAGTGTGCGGAAGTGAAAAAAAAGAGAAAAGCGGAGTCTGGAGGGCTGGCTTAGGCTATGTCCAAGCAGCAATTTTATTTTGGCAATACGTTTCATTATATACTTTTCTGAAGCCAAAGTTGTTTACACCAGATCAACGTACTTAAGTTACAGTAAGCAAGTTACGCCCACTAAGTTACGCCCAGTAAGTAAGTTAAGCCCAGTAAGTAGGTTACTTCCAGTAAGTAGGTTACGCCCAATAGGTCAAGGTAAGTAAGTTACAGTCACGCCCTGTAAGCTATGGTAAGTAAGTTACAGTTACACCCAGTAAGTTATGGTAAGTAAGTTACCAAGTGTAAATACTTAAGTTAATATTTTACAATGAAGGTAACAAGGGTCCAAAATGAACACAATCAAGCAATAAACCATAAGAAGCTGAAAGTGGACACATTGACTCCCAAGTCCTCATATTCATAAAGTAATGTCTGTTAACTATTTAGAATAACATAGTCCCTCTCTCGGTTCCTGCTTTCCCTCAGCTCGACTCCCCCAACCGGGGATCTGTGTCCAGGCTCAAGCTCACCGTATGGTGAGGCCCATTTCCCAGGGGCCTCACACGGGAGCCATCTCCACAGATTCCCTCAGTCTCAGATGTGATAACTGCAAAATGGGTAGCAACTTGGTATTCTTTTCTTTTGGCTGGCTTCTCCTTCAGTTTTGATGAGAATTAGTACACCCATTAATTATTTAGACACAAAGCAACCCGTGAAGCACCTCCTACACTGAGCGCCTCGCTCTGTGCCTGATCCATAATTGCATGATAAATGTTGAATGAATGCCAGTCACAGAATTTGGCAGATGCATAGGTAGGAACTGAGTGTTTTTAGTAGCATCTGGGAACCACCTTTCTTATCTGCCACAGAAAATGAAGAGGCACTTACTGAATTGTGGAGTTGAGGATAAAAAACGTAGTCTAAAGCTGGAAATGCTTTTAAAAATTAAAATATCAATTTTAATCAGAGTGAAGCTTGATAAAACTTCTGTCTGTGGTAGGTGTTTATGAAAAAAGACAGGGTCATCCATATTGATTTTAAAAGGTTTATGCTTTGAAGTAAAAATAGATGACCAAATATATCATACCTAGATAGCTTACATTCTCAAATGCACTTAAAAGGAACTAATCTTTGATGCAGCTAAGATAAAATGTTTCTAATAGATTACTTGATGAAAGGTCATTTCCCAAAATTGTGAGGCAGCTAAGATGTTACCTTGAACTATTACATGTGGGGTTTTCACTGTTGCAGTAGAATTATTATATTCTTTAGAATTATTATATTCTTTCTCTCCTTTTCTTTTGTTTTAGTGGCAATATCTGCAGCCTCAAACTCCTGGGCTCAAGCATGCTCCCATCTCAGCCTTCAGAGTGGTTGAGACTATAAGTGCCCACCACGATGGCTGGCAAATTTTTAAAAAAATTTCTCATAGAAATGGGATCTTCAACTCCTGGGCTCAAGTGATCCTCCAGCCTCAGCTTCTCAAAGTGCTAGGATTACAGGTGTGAGGCACCACGCCTGGCCTGCATTATTTCTCTATTAAGATAAATTAAAGAATTGGTAGTAATTTGACTTGACTCCCTAAGGACTTTGAGAACAGAGTTGTTACAGAGGTTCAGTGTCCAACTTCCCAGAAGAGGCATTCCTCTGCCTGCATCTTTAACAGATCTGTAAACCAGTCAGTTCTCAGCCTCAGTATAAGTCCTGCATAAAGGTCTCCCAGGTTGTTCTACAGTTGAGTGTCTGCATGCACACAATGAGACCCAGGTGTAGGAGAGATAAGTAACAGATTAAAACTTGCCTCCGAGGTCATGCATGTTGGCTCACACCTGTAATCCCAGCACTTTAGAAGGCTAAGGCAGGAGGATCACTTGAGCTCAGGAGTTTGAGATCAGCCTGAGCAACATAGTGAGACCCTGCCTCTACCCAAAAAAAAAAAAAAAAGTTTTTAAAAAATTAGCTGGGCATGGTGGCTGAGCCTGTAGTCCCAGTTACTAATGGGGCTGAAGTGGGAAGATCACTTAAGCCCTGGAGATCAAGGGAGGCAGTGATCAACCCTCTGCCCTCCAGCTTTGGTCATAGAGTAAGAACCTGTTTAAAAAAAAAAAAAAATCCACTATCATGGCGAAAAGATTTAGTAGTAATGCCTGGAACATCTCATCTTCTAGATCAGTGCCTCTCAAGCTATCTGCAATGAAAGATCCTTTATATATTTTTTAAATTTCCGGTTCATCTTAAACCAACATGCATGTCTACTGCATAGGACCATGTGCAGCTCATGCTATAAGCTACCAAACCCCCAAGTACTGCTGTAATTTAATTGGTCTATGGAAATATCAGTGTATTAAGTCCACTGATCACATGCATGGATTTTGTAAAAAATAAGTTGCTATAAATGTCTCTGAACATGAAACCAACCCAATTGTGCCATAGAACTGATGTTCATGGTTTCTTCTGAATAAACATAGAAATTGGCCCAGTCTTAAAACTTTAGAAAGTGATCTTTGTCTTATCTGAGTTCATTATCACTTCAAACGTTTTTTCTCCTCCTTTCTCCTTCAGGTATTCTCATTATGCATATGTAACACTATTTGTAATTGTTCCACAGTTCTCGGATATTGTTCCTCTTTTTGGTTTTCTTTTTTCTTCGCTTTTCCTTTTTGGAATTTTCTATTGACAAAGCCTCATGCTCAGAGATTCTTTCTTCAGCTGTGTCTAGTCTCCTATCAAAGACATTCATTTGTGTTATAGTGGTTTTGATTCTCCAGCATTTTGTGATTTTTTTTCTTGAAATGTCCATCTCTCTGCTTATGTTACTCATCTGTTCCAGCATGTTGTCTACTTTTTCCCCTAGAGTCCTTAGCATATTAATCCTGGTTGTTTCACATTTTGGTCTGAGAATTTCAACATTCTGCCCTATCCGAGTCAGCTTCTGATAACTTGCTTTGCCTCTTCAAACTATGGTTTTGTTTTTGCTTTTGCCATTTACGATGCCTTGTGATTTCTTGTTGAAAGGTGGACCTGATGTAAAAGGAACTCTGGTAATCAGGCTTTTAGTAACGTGGAGGTAAAGCGTGGGGAAGGGCGCATTCTGTAGCTCTTTCATTAGGTCTGTTGTTTTAGCGAGCCTCTGCTCCTGCGAGGTGAGCTTCACATGTGCTTCTCATTATTTCCCTCCCTCTTTAGGTGGGACAGGATGGCTAGAGGGGCTAGAGCCAGTAGTTCCCTTCTCCATGTGGAAGGCTAGTGGAGGCTGAAGCTGGGAATTTCCCTTCTGCCAGGTCAGTTAGGCTCTGGTAAAATAAATGCTTCTGAAGGCAGGACTTGTTATGAAGAGAACACTCCGCTGTATTTCAAAATGGTTGCTTCCCCACCCCCACCCCCGTCTCTGCCAGAAGCCCAAGGGGATTTTCTCTGATTTTCACTGTGAGAACCTGATAGGCGTCCTGAAGGTAATATTTACAAAAGTGTGGGGGCCCTCCATGAATGGAACCCCTATAGTTTTTGACTCTCAGAGCTTCCAGCAACTCATCAATTACAGTTCAGGTTTTCCGACCCCGGCTGGTTCCTGGAGGTTTCTGCTCAGGTAAGTTGTGATTCTCTGTGTCCACCTGTCTGTCTCCCCAACTTTGGGGGCAGTGATTTCTCCTGTGACCTCAGTTCTCTGATGGATTTAAGATGAGTTGATTTTTCTGTTGGTTTGGCTTTTTATTATTGTTAGGATGACTTCCAAGTTCCTTACAAGCCAGGGCCGAAAGCAGACTTCCTTTCTAGAAAACGATAAAGATATTTTCTGGTCCATTATTGAATTTAGTGAAATGACCATATTCTAGTTATTAATTCTGTGATTCTCTCTTATTCATAACTTTTTCTTGCTAAAATTATTTCTTCCTTATAACAACTTTTTAGTTGTTAACAATTTAATGCCTCTATTTGCGAATTTTCTTTAACTCCACGTTTTCTCGCAGCGCTAACAGCCAGATTACTCGTGTTTGCCAATTGCGTCAACATGTAAAAAAGATGCGCTGTTTACTCTGTTGGTCTTACTGTTGTGCCTGCGAATCCCGCTGTGTGAATTGAATTGGCTGCAGCTGCACGTTAGGTTGATGGCATCGGAAACAGTTTACAGAGAATGTCGGCTACAAGTGAAGGCCCAAAACTATTTTCAGATCTCATTTTCCCTAAACCCGTTACCCTAACTCTGTCCACATTGAAACTCACCTGTATTTTATGGCTCACTCATATTACTTAGAGCAATGCTTTCAATCTTGGCTTCAGATTAGAATCACTGGCTCTATTTCTTGTTTGTTTGTTTGTTTTTTCTTTTTAATTAAACTTTTTGGGGGGAGGGAAGGGTTCTCGCTAGGTTGCCCAGGCTCGTCTCAAACTCCTGGGCTCAATTGATCCTCGTGCCTCGGCCTCCTGAAGTGCTGGGATTATAGGCATAAGCCACCACACCTGGCCACTGCTGGTTCTATTTCTATGTAATTGGTCTGTGTGTGTCCTGGTATCAGATTTCTGAAAGGTCCTCCAAGTGATTTTACTGTGCAATTAAGGTTAAAATCCGAGAGCCAGCAAACTTAAAAAAATTTTTTTTTGTAAAAATGATTGGGGGCTTTGCTATCTTGCCCAGGCTGGTCTTAAACTCCTGGCCTCAAGCAATCCTCCCTCTGCAGCCTTACCAAGTGGTTACAGGCATGAGCCACTGTGTCTAGTCACCAGCAAACTTTTTCTCTGAAGATCAGACAGTAAATGCTTTAGGCTTTGAGGGTCAAATAGTCTCTATTGGAGTTACTCAACTCTAACCTCATAGCATGAAAGCAGCCACAGGCACGTGAGCACCACACTGTTTAATAAAACTTTATTTCTAGACGGTGAAATTTTGATTTACATAATTTTCATGTGTCAGAAATATTCCTTTTCATTGTTTTGCAGCTATTTACAAATGCAAATGTTGTCTCACAGGATACACAGAAACAGGTTTCGAGTGGGCTTTGCTATAGTCTGGCAGCCCTTGGTTTATGGCTTGTTTGCTTCACTGCTTCAGTTCGGTTCTATAAGGTAAACTATTTCTTCCCCTAAATCGCTATAACCTTTTTCATGAGTGCTAGCACTGGTTACTTGTTTTATATGTCTTATCAGAACATTTTAAAACATGGCAATGCATCTCCTTGGTTAGAAATTGTAGCTGCCAGGTGCGGGTGCTCACACCTATAATCCTAGCACTTTGGGAGGCTAAGGCAGGTGGTTCACTTGAGGTCAGGAGTTCCAGACCAGCCTGGCCAACATGGTGAAACTCTGTCTCTACTAAAAATACAAAAAATTAGATGGGCGTGATGGTGGGCACCTGTAATCCCAGCTACCTGGGAGGCTGACAGGAGAATCGCTGGAACCCGGGAGGCAGAGACTGTGGTGAGTTAAGATCACACCACTGCACTTCAGCCTGGGCCACAGAGTGAGATTCTGTCTCAAAAATACATAAATAAATAATTGTAGCAGTTGGGATGCTTTTGTCTTCAAGTAGTAAGCCTGGCTTAAATGGCTTAAAGCAGTAGGAAAGGGCTGAGTGTGGTAGCTCATGCTTGCAATCCCAGCAGCCCTTTAGGAGGCTAAAACAGGTGGATCACTTGAGCCCAGGTGTTCAAGACCAGTCTGGGCATAGCAAAACCCTGTCTCAACAAAAAATACAAAAATTAGCCAGGTGTGGTGGTGCATGCCTCTAGTCCCAACTGTTCAGTGAGCTGAGGCAGGAGGATGGCTTGAACCCCGGGGGTTGAAGCTGCACTGGACCAGGAGTGTGCCTCTGCACTCCAGCCTGGCAGACAGAGCAAGGCCCTACCTCAAAAAACAAAAACAAAAATAAGAAAACAGTAGGAAAGGTATCCTATTGTTGAAATATAGACAGTCGTGGGGTTAGTTCAGTTGCTGTGCAACGTCATCACATACAGATGCATAGCATCCAGCAGAGAGCAGGGGTGTTCTTTCCATGTGTTTATTTTTAATAGTGAGGCAAACTTCTCTAGAATGAGCCCTTCCTCCCTTGTAGATCTCCCCTTAGGTCCCAAAGACCAAATCAGTCCCTGGGGAATGAATTAAGTTCGCCTAATGAAATGTCATGATGCACCCCCTGGGTTTTAGAAGGGCGCAGCCTGCTTTAAGCAGGTAGTCTCAGGATCTCAGAACCAAATTAGGGTTCTGTGAGTAAGGAGAAAGGAAGAATGGCAATTGGGAAGGAATCAACTGGTTCTCTCACAGAACTAGATTCTTCAGATTAAAAAGAGAATGGTGGGCCAGGCATGATGGTTCACGCCTGTAATCCCAGCACTTTGGGAGGCTGAGGTGGGCAGTCAGGTTAGGAGTTTGAGACCAGCCTGGCCAACATAGTGAAACCCTGTCTCTACTAAAAATACAAAAAGTAGCCAGGCTTGGTGGCGCGTGCCTGTAATTCCAGCTACTTGTGAGGCTGAGGCATGATAATCACTTGAACCCGGGAGGCGGATGTCGCAATGAGCCCACCTTACACCACTGCACTCCAGCCTAGGCGACAGGGCAAGGCTCCATCTCAAAAAAAAGTCTGAAGAAGACTGTGTGCTGAGCTGCTTGAGTTTCTATTTATTTATTTCCTATAAAGAACACAAGGGAATTGATCAGTACAATTTCCCTAAAAGAAAACCTATTGATTTTTTACCTAAATAAATAATATTTTGCTTTAGTCTTCAAAACCACAGCTATTATTTCTATGAGGTTACATTTTTTAAAAGTGTTCTATTTTTGCCTACTTTGTCGTTTTAACCTTTACTGCATATCAAGTATAAAAATGTTCATGCTAAAATGACATTTTTTTTTTTTTTTTTTTTGAGACAAGGTCTAGCTCTGTCAACCACACTGGAGTGCAATGACATGAGCACAGCTCACTGCAGCCTCAACATCTTGTGCCTAAGTAATCCTCCTGCCTCAGCCTCCCAAGTAGGTGAGACCATAGGCATGCACCACCACACCCAGCTAATTTTTTTTTTTTGTAGAAATGGTGTCTCACTATGTTGCCCAGGCAGGAGATCCTCCTGCCTCAGCCACCCCAAATACCAGGATTACAGGTATGAGCCACAGTGCCTGGCCCAAAAATGATTTTTTTTAAAAGGCATCATTATTTGTTCATTTTGAACCATTAAACAATGTCTACTTTTGAATTTTGCATTGTGAAAATAATAAAAATTGCTTTCAAAAATATTCTAGCGTTGAATAAGAGTTTAAGACTATACTGTCACTTCCTGCTTTCCCTGGTCACCTCCATGGGTATTTTGATGTACCTCCCAAGTGGTAATACCCACCTATGACTTCTTATTTGAAAATAATCACTGAGAAGGCCAGGCGTAGTGGCTCATACCTGTAATTCTAGCACTTTGGGAGACTGAGATGGGAGGACAGCTTGAGCCTAAGATTTCAAGACTAGCCTAGGCAAGATGTCAGGATCCTGTCTCTACAAAAAAATTAAAAATTAGCTGGGCATGGTGGTGTATACCCATGGTCCTAGCCTTTCAGAGGGTTGAAATGGGAGGATCACTTGAGCCCAGGAGGTCAAGGCAGCAGCCATATTTGTGCCACTGCACCCTAGCCTGGGTGACGGAGCAAGACCCTATAAAAAAAAATCACAGAGGGAGATCTTACATCAATATCAATTCCACTCAACTGTACTTATCCTTCTGAGAGCCCTGATCCCTCAGGAGCACAGGCTGAAATTCTACCTTTGCCATTTTCTTAGGAGAACATCTGGCACAGTGGAAGATGCTTCTGCCTAGGACAGAGAGGCTTCTGGTCTTGGCCCTGCCACTTACGAGGCATGTTAACGTTGGACAAGTCACTTAACCTCTCTGAGCTCTAGTTTTGATGTCTATAAAGCAAGAATTTGAACTATGTGGCTCTAAGGTCCCTGTTGGAACTAACGTTTTTTCTTTTTTTTGAGATGAAGTCTCGCACTGTCTGTTGCCTAGGCTGTAGTGCAGCGGCGTGATCTCGGCAACACTGTAATCTCTGCCTCCTGGGTTCAAGCAATTCTCCTGCCTCAGCCCCCTGAGTAGCTGCGACTACAGGCATGTGCCACCACGCCCAGCTAATTTTTTTGTATTAGTAGAGATGGGGTTTCACCATGTTGGCCAGGATGGTCTCCATCTCCTGACCTTGTGATCCACCCACCTCAGCCTCCCAAAGTGCTGGGATTACAGGTGGGAGCCACTGTGCCCTGCCCTAATGTTTTTTCTTTACCATGTAATCCAAAATATTGACCTTTCCTTTGTAATGTCAATCTGATTTCTGCTGTCATTGTTGACTGGTGAAGCCTACAGATGCAGTCACAGTGCTGTAGCACTGCTTATTTTATGGTTGTGTTATAAAGTAAGAGAGTAAGAGTGATATCTAATGAGGTAATGTGTTCCAGCAGCAGTGCTCTCTTTCGCCACAGCACTGTCAGATGACCCATAATATCCTAGCATGAGACATTCCCATGTCACTAAGCCACATCCCTCACCCATTCAAGGAAGCAAATCAGAAGACAAATAAGCAAGCGTTTTTTGATAACCCAAATAAGCGAATCAGAAGACAAGGCAAATAAGCAATAACAAGGAGATCACTTTGGACAGCTTTGTTATTATTTTTATTTTGTAACTAAAATGTTTGCAAATCTCTATACTTTCATTGCTAATATTGTAATATACGTCACTGTTATTTATAACATACAACTATCCCCTGCAGCTTTAGAGATGTCTTTTACTCCTTCTAGAACTCTCTGTGTCTCTTGGAGCATTCCATACAGAAGTGAAACAAACCACGAAACCCTGAAAAACTGGTGTGGGAAGGAAAGTTCTGTTTGGTGGCAAAAGTAGTTACCTTTGGCTGGTCCAGAATTTTTTTTTTTTTTCATGCCCTTCAGAACCCATTTCTATGCTCATTAGGAATTCAGTTTTTGTTTTTTGTCAATTCACATAGAACTTTTCCTTTTTTCTCAGGAGTGTTACACATTTTAGGAGAGTGCAGTCATCTTTAGAAGAACCTGGGGAACTTTTCCCTAAGGAATGTGAAAATAGGTTAACTAGATTGGCATTTTGAAGTGCCCCATTGGCAGAGGTTGGCCAATGAATAGCAGCTTCTTGGGTCTAGGGTCCTTCTTCCTCTTCTCATGGGCGCTCTATTAAAGGTGGAGAGCTATGTGCTACATGATCTCCAAGAGCAGTTTACTTTTGCACTTCCAGTCCGGGTGAGCCCTCTTCATACCGAAGGGCTGCATCCCTGGGCCTCTTCCCCAGGAGGATTTCTGGTGGCCTCTTCGTAGGAGGGTGGTAAACACTGGGAGGGGAGGGCAGCCTCGGGGGGCAGTGGGGCATAGCGGAAGTCCTCACTGCTGCAGGCCAGGCCCGGTAGCAGGTCCGTGACCTCTCCTGCAGCTGGGTGCTCTGGTAGGTCAACGCTGAACACCTGCCCCTGGGGTTGCGGGGACTTGCATCGGCGGTACAGGAACAACAGCAGAAAGGCCAGGAAGAGCAGGACAGTGGCCGGCAGAAGGATGCACAGGAAGGGCTCCACATCCTCCTGGGTGGAGCTAACCCGCTGCGTGCCCTGGAGTTAGGGAAGGAAGCCCAGTTAGGAGATGCGGAAAGAAGGCCTCATATTTCTTTTATTTCTTTTTCCTTTTTTTGAGACAGAGTCTTTTATTTTTATTTTTGAGATGGAGTCTCGCTCCTGTCTCACAGGCTGGCATGCAGTGGCATGATCTTGGCTCACTGCAACCTCCGCCCCCCGGGTTCAGGCAATTCTCCTGCCTCAGCCTCCAGAGTAGCTGGGATTACAGACACGGGCCACCATGCCTGGCTAAGTTTTGTATTTTTAATTGAGGTGGGGTTTTGCTGTGTTGGCCAGGCTGGTCTCGAACTCCTGACCTCAAGTGATCTACCTGCCTTGGCCTCTCAAATTACAGGGATTACAGGTGTGAGCCACCACACCTGGCCAAGGTCTTGCATTTCTAAGGCCCTGAAGTTCCCTCTCATCTTTAATTCTTCTTGCCATTATTACTCACTCTAAAAATCACTATCATTTACTGATGCCAGTGAGCTTGAGCCTATTGAAATAACGTTAATTTACACAAAGTGTGAATTCAGAATGTCAGAAAATATATGTTGATGAGATCTTAGAAAATTTCCACAAAAGTAAAATTATTGAAATAAATTTTAGTTGGTAGTCCTGCTGTTCATTTTCTCGAATGAAAACTCTATTTATGTACTTATTTTATTTAGAATGAGACTAATTATGATTTATTGCCACCAATGGATCATGTGGGACTCACTTAAGTTCTTTAATTTTGGAACAAAATCTCATTATGTGTTCATATCACATGTAAATATTACATGCATGTCAAATGTAAATAACTGGATTTGATAGCTGGTGCTTATGATGAATGAGATTTTAAAAATTCTTTAAATTTGTGTTTTGGTCTTTTTTTTTTTTGAGATGGAATTTTGTTCTTGTTGCCCAGGCTGGAGTGCAATGGTACTATCTCTGCTCACTGCAACGTCTGCCTCCCAGGTTCAAGGGAGGCTGATTCTCCTACCTCAGCCTCCCAAGTAGGTGGGACTGCAGGCATCCACCACCTCACCTGGCTAATTTTTTTTGTATTTTTAGTAGAGACAGGATTTCACGATGTTGGCCAGATTGGTTTCAAACCCCTGACCTCAAGAGATCCGCCTGCCTCAGCCTCCCAAAGTGCTAGGATTACAGGCACGAGCCACTGTACCCGGCCTTAAATTTGTTTTTGTAGTATTTGTAGGATAAATATGAAAACATTTTTATGTTTTTAACAATAAAGAATAAGAATTACAGATAAATTCTTGAGCAACCTAAAAGGTATTGATTTTATAATATTAGCTCACAGAAATAATGATGGTTCCTGATGGCATAAATAATACAATAGGCAAGAAATGATGCTTCAACAGCAAGTTAGGAAAGCAACATTTAAAACATACTCTTCCTAATGGCACAGAGACTGCCTTTAATAAGGCAACTAAGAAATAATGAAGTATTAAAAAGTTTATTTTACTTTATTTTGAGACGGACTTTCACTCTTGTTACCCAGGCTGGAGTGCAATGGCGTGATCTCGGCTCACTGCAACCTCTGCCTCCTGGGTTCAGGCAATTCTCCTGCCTCAGCCTCCTGAGCAGCTGGGATTACAGGCACGCGCCACCATGCCCAGCTAGTTTTTTGTATTTTTAGTACAGACGGGTTTTCACCATGTTGACCAGGATGGTCTCGATCTCTTGACCTCGTGATCCACCCACCTCAACCTCCCAAAGTGCTGGGATTACAGGCTTGAGCCACCGTACCCGGCCACAGTTTATTTTATAAAGCATATAGTAACAAGTGTAAATGTTAGTATCTACTATGGAGGAAAAGAAAATATATTAAAGCCTTGTAATCATTTTTAAAATAAGCAATAAGAATATTAAGTTCTTTATCTCTTATTTAAAAGAAAACCTAGGCCGGGTGCAATGGCTCATGGACTTTGGGAGGCCAAGGCAGGAGGATCATTTGAGGTCAGGAGTTCAAAACCCACCTGGCCAACATGGTGAAACCCCATTTCTACTAAAAATACAAAAAAAAAAAAATTAGCTGGGTGTGGTGGTGGGCACCTGTAATCCTAGTTACTTCGGAGGCTGTGGCAGGAGATTGGGAGGCTGTGGCAGGAGATTGGGAGGCTGTGGCAGGAGATTGGGAGGCTGAGGCAGGAGAATCACTTGAACGCAGGAGGTAGAAGATGCAGTGAGCCAAGATTGTGACACTTAACTCCACCAGCCTCAGCGACAGAACAAGACTCTCTCTCAAACAAAAAAAAGGAAAAAAGAAAAAAAGATAAAGAAAACCTAATAATTAACTATGAGAGATGACATTTGCTCCTTGATTTTGGTGGAAAGGACACGTTTTGCTGGTCATGACCTCTTAGGAGACTGGTTTATCTAGCTTGCATTTTATAACGCTAGATGTTTGTGTAATGTTTGTCATTCGCTAAAGACCTTTCGATTATGTGTGTGGGTTTGACTCAAAATTAGATGGTTTAATATTTGTATTTCCAGATATTTTGTCCTTGGTAAGATATGAATCAAGATATTTTAGCTTAAAGAGCACAAAAATAAAAGGTGTTCTTGAGAAGCAGAGCATCATTATCATTGGGGGTTGACAGCTCTGTGTTTGAATTTCTGTGATGTTCTAACACCTGTGTGACTATAGAGCATTCACTTGCCTTCTCTGGGCCTAGACTTTCTCCTCTATAAAATGGAATTAGTAACATCTGTTATCAAGGGTTAGCATGAGAATTAAATGAAGTAAAGTATGTAAAGCACTTGGTGATGGTACTTATATGTTTATGTCTCGGTGACTCGAGCAGTCAAGTTTATGATACCTAAAATATTAAACATATTAAGAGAAATCTAGAAATTTATTGGTAAGCCTAGAAAATCGGAGAAATCTAGAAATTTGTTGGTGAGGCCAGAAAATAAGATCTGGCATAACTAAATTTATATTTTAATGAATATGTATTTTCAGAAAAAAATCTTACGTTTTATGTATGTGATTGTTAAATTTCTAAACTATACATTCCTTCTGTTTTCTTACATAAAATCTAATTTGATAGCAGAATTATTAACAAAATCTGTTGTGACATAATAAAGACTTTGATTGCAAAAACTATAAGAGTAGATGAACTCACAAATTTGCTACAATTATTAAGAAATCAAGTTGGAGTAAAAACTTTTTAACTATAATTTGTTTTTTCTCTCTAGATGAGTCACTGAAAGTCTTTTCCCATTTTTAATGCTTAATAATAGCTTATGCTAGCTTAGTAATTAAATAATAGCTTTGGCTATTATCTCTTATGTCCTTCAACCCTGATAAGTATGGACCATTTTTCATAATCTATTTTTATTTCATTCTCTATCAATAGCATGTATGATAACAATTTCTGATCAGCTGTGGCCACCAATTCTAGATGTGGCCGTCTATTCATCTAGGATATGATAAAGTCTCTATCATATCCTAGAAAGTCAGTATGCATAGAATATAGAGAGATTTAATGATCTACTTGAAAGGTTTTATGTCATAGATCCTTTGTTTATAATTATGATACTTAAGGTATTCTCAATACTAGTTGCAAAAATTTGGGAAAGGAAAAATCCCTTGATCCCTGTTGTAATCAGTGCTTCCATTGGTTGAGTTAAATTTGTCCACATACCAAGTGGCATTAGTAGACTTTTATACTGTAAACTAGGACAATTTCTGGAGAAAAAGAACTTTTCCAGTTAAGAGAGGCCCAGAGCTATCAGACAAATTTATTACAGTATCCTTAATTTGCTTATTTAATTATTTATGGTATATGGCTTAAAATTGTTGAATTATTTTTTAATGTGGAAAGGATGTCTTTTTTAGTCAAATGTCCTAATTTGGTCACCAGCCTCAAAGTTGTTTCTTAACTTTTAATGCTTTTCTGATGTATATATTGGCTAAAGGGATTTGTTGTTCAGGGAATATTTTAAAGAAATATCCAATTAAAGGTGTAAGTACTAAAGTATATTGAGATAGATATCTCAATGTCTCAGTATATATCAAATATATATTGATGTCCATATCAATTAAAGGTGTAAGTTAAAGGATATTGAGTTATATATCTCAATATATATTTGTGTATGTTTTTCTGTAAAATGTGGTCGTGGAGAACTTAAAGATGAGTGTCACCAGTTGGCTTTCCAGAAAGCAAGAAAATAGTTTGCTTTTATTCTTTCTCGTGTTGTCAGCAGTGTCACTCCTTTCTCCTTTGTTTATAGAATTAATTCTTAGGTTTTAGAATCTCTGTCCTTAACGCTGCCTCCGATGGATACTACACCGATCTGCCAGACAAAGCAAAGCAGCTGCTGTATTTCTTCGTGAGAGACAAAATGTCTTTAACCCCCTGCTGTCCTACCTGAAGTAAAATGCAGGGTTTCTGCTAACACTTAAAAATAGTGGTTAATACACAGCCAGGACCAGAGAGGCTCTTGTCTTTGTATAGGTAGATATTGCTTACTGAGCAAAGAACAGAGTGGTAACGCCGAGGCATTTCTGTTGGCACACCTCTGTTGACTCCTAGTTTCAGGTGTTCTTTGACAGTTGTGCCAAGTTTTATTTGAATGTATCCTTGTCCAAAAAATACAACTTTCAAGTTATTCCCTTTAGACCATGCCAATCAGTGAATTCATATTTTTGGTAGAGATGTAAGACAAAATACTGCTACTGCATTTTAAGATCCTAAAATCATAGGTATTGTTGATTTTAAAACAGATGAAGATGCTTTGGGAAGAAAAGACTAAAGTCATAAGTACAGACCTGCAGCTGGGTCTCCAGGAGAGGCAGGCTGGGCTCGCTGGTTAACCACTCGTATGTCCCCCGGCCAGCATGTCCAAACTTCTTCCAGCTGCTGCCCAACAGTCCCCGCATGTTTTCATCCAGCTGATGCCCTGGCCACCCTTCCACCT